TCTCCTCTCGTGGCCCAGCCTAGCCGCAGCTAATGGACTAACTCAGGTTAGCATCACCTGCCCTGTCTTGGTGACTCTTCACAGCTGAACGGCCTATAAGGCATCGTGCTGGTCTTCTGATCTCTTGGTGACTCCTCTGCCTTCTGTTTATTTCTTTCTCCCTAGCTGGCCGATCGAGTCAAACCCTGTCAGTGCGTGAAGGCCCCAGGAATTACGAGTGCGATGGTCTCCCATGTCCAAGGTAATCGGCTGGCTAGTAATGGATGGGCTGCTTGGTTATCAGGTTAGGCTGCACAAGCCAGGTCTATGGGACCCCATGGCCAGCTGGCACCTGGTTCACAGGGAGGCAGCTGTACTAATCTGAAAATGGCTGGAGGACACCACCATCATTAGGCTCCAGAGTTACAGCACTCACTCTTCTTGGAGCTACTTGTCCGAGGCAGGCAGCACAGCTTAGCAGCTCATTGGGACATCTTCTTTTTAGTTGTGAGATCTGGGCACTTTAGAATGGCTGTAGCAATTGAAAGCAAAGGCGCACAGCTATAGGCATGTAGTTTCCAGCTTTATTCACCTAGGTGGCTGAGTCCAGGAACTGCAGAGCCCACAGAATGTGGCTTGGGGGGAGGGGCAGAGGAATGCTCTGGGTCCCTGTGTTCATCCCAGGCTGGGCAGGCAGGGCCGGGAAGTTGGAAGCTCAGACGGCAGGGGAGCCGTGGGAGGCCGCGGAGGAGCTGTGGATGGCTCAGCTCTCCTGCAGGATGAAGAGAGCACGGGTGGTTAGGGAGCCCTGCCTGCAGGCCTGGGCAGGGATGCAGGGAGCTCCCGACCCCTCACCCACCTGGGCACTTCCCCAAACCCCGCGACCCAGATAGCTAGTGCCTAGAGCTAGGCCCTGCCTGGTCCTAGGACTCCTGGCTCCCACGTCCCCTGTTTTGTCTCCTGCTTCCACTCTCCTCCCAGGGCTGGGACAGATCCCAGGAGTCCTGGACACCAGCCCCCTCCCTTCTAACACCCTGGACCCCACTCCCCTCCCATAGAGGAGCTCTCTCTCTCTGCGCATGGCCGTGTACCTGGCAGACCACGCTGATGTCCTCATGGTGGGTGCAGTCGTGGTAGCCCCAGACATGGTGGGCACAGTTCTGCAGGGTCTTCTCAGTGCCTTTGCAGCGGACGTCATCCAGCCATATTCTCCCCGTAGCCTTGCCAAAGCGGGGCCGGTCCTTCAGCTTTGGGGCCACTGGCTCAGCAAGGCCACAGCCCAGCTCCCGGCACACCACGTCGGCACTGGAATTGGACCAGTGGTCGTCACACACGGTGCCCCACTCCCCGTCATACTGCACCTCCAGCCGCCCGGCGCACCTCCCTGGGCCGTCCACCAGCCGCAGCGCAAAGGGCTCTGCAAGGAAGGGGGGCGTTAGCTGGGGAAGTGCCCCAGTGCATCCTGGGGAGGCATGACCTGGCTGGTGGAGGGGACTTGACCTCTCCTCCCCCCCACACACAGATGGCTTTGCTAGCTGAGCCCAGCCAGCGGGGGCAGCTGTCGCCAAGCTCAGCAGGGACCACGGCGCATGCCGCTCCTTTGGGCAGGGAGGCAGGGGATGTGCAACGCCCAGGATACCCACGTGGCACCGGGGACTGTCACATTATTGGATTTCAGTCGGAACATGCAGATCATTGTTGCGCCACCTGGTGTGTGTTTCCCCACATTCTGGGCCACGTGGGCCACGTGAGGGGTCCAATGACAGCCCCTGCTTAGCTGAGTCTGTCTGTGCTGCTCACATGCATGGGGGGGTTGTATGTAGAGTTATGGGAATGGGCTCTGCACTTGTTTCTTAAACTTTGTCTGTCTGGGAGACAGGAGCAGGCGTCGACCACCTATGGCAGAGTTTCTAAAGTGGCTCACAAAGCCACGTTGAGAAAGCCGCTCCAGGGTTACTTTCTGGCTCCACAGCCACGGAGCCTTGTGGCTCCCCTTGGCTCCCCCTTTCTTTTTTGTGCCCCTGGGGGGGC